GTGGCATCACAGCTCACAGCAACCTCCAACTCCTGGGCTCAAGCGAGTCTCCTGCCTCCGCCTTCCAAGTAGCTGGGACCACAGGCGCCCGCCACAACGTCAGGCTATTTTTTGGTTGCAGCGGTCATTGTTGTTTGGCGGGTCTGGGCTGGGGATTCCAACCGCCACCTTAGGTGTCCGTGGCTGGCACCTTAGCCGGTTGAGCTATAGGCGCCGAGCCAGATCACCTTGCAAGGATGTTGGCGTCTCCTACAAGTTCTTACTCTGTTGCAGAGGTGGGAGTACACCAGCATATCTCACAGCAACCTCAAATTCCTGGGCTCTCATGATCCTCCTACCTTAGCCTCCTCAATAACTGGCACTACGGGCTTACACAGCCACATCAGGCTGATTTATCTGTCATTTATGGAGATGGAGTCTTGCTCTTCTCAGGTTACTCTCAAACTTAAGATTTCTTTGGCTATTTAGGGGTCTTTTGTGATTTTATATAAATTTTAGAATTTTTTAAAATTTCTCTAAAGAATGCTATTGGTATTTTCATAGGGGCTGTACTGAATCTTATATCAATTTGGATAATATAGCTATTTTAACAACAGTAGATTTCTTTTTTTGTGCATATTTAAATTTCCTTTTAAATATTTTATAGTGTAGATATTAGATATCTATAATGTAGATATTTTTCAACTCCTTAAATTTATTACTGATTATTGTCCATTTTGGTAGCTATTCTTTGGGGTCATTTGGTTGGTTTCTTTTTATGTAATTTGGTGCTAGTGTATGAAAACATAACTGCTTTTTATATGTTCATTTTGTATCTTACAAATTCGATGCATTTGTTTATGAGTTCTAACTGTATTTTTGGTGTAGTCTTTAGAATTTTCTACATGTGAAATCACTCCATCTGTAATTAGGCCTAATTCAACTTCTTCTTTTTCATTTTTGATGCTTTTATTTATTTATTCATTTACTTATTTTACCTGATTGCTTGACTAGGAGTTCTACTACTACATTGAATAGAAGTGACAAAAGTGAGCATCCTTGTCTTGTATCAAGTCTTAGAGAAAAACTATAAAATATTGACCATTCAGTATGATATTAGTTGTGGGTTAGTCATCATGTATGGTTTTTATTCTTTTGAGATACATCCCTTTTAAATTTAACTTGTTCAGAGTTTTTGTCACAAAGTGATGTTGAATTTTGTGAAATGCTTTCTCACATGCATTGAGGTGATCATGTGGCTATTTTCCTTTATGTTGTTAATATATTACATATCATGTTTATTGATTTGAGTGTATTGAGTCATTCTTGCATTTCTAAAATGAATCCTACTTGATGATGGTGGATCTTTTTCATTGGGTATAAATTTGGTTTGCTAATATTTCACTGAGGTTTTTGCATGTATGTTCATCAGTGGTGTATTCTGTGGTTTTCTTTATCTTGTATCTTTCTCTGATATTGGTATTGAAGCTAATGCTGGCCTCACAGAATGATTTTGGAAATGTTCCATTTTCTTCAATTTATTGAAACAATTTGGGAAGAATTCATATTGGTATTTAAATGTTTGGTAGATTCAACAGTGAAGCCATTAGTCTTGAACTTTCTTGATGGGAAACTCTGACTGATTCAATTGCTTTAATTATTATTGGTTTGTTCATATTTTATATTTTATAATTCATTGTTGGTAAATAGTGTGTATATAGAAATGTATCCATTCTTCTAGGTCATCCAATACATCAGTATGTAGTTGTTTATAATTAAATATTATGATAAGTTATAGTGTCTTTTTTCATCTATGATTTTGTTTATTTGAGCTTTTCTTTTCCCTTAGTCTGTCTAAAGTTTTTAATTTTTATCTTTCAAAAACCAACTTTTCATTTTGTTCTTTGTATTCTTTTCCAGTTTCCATTTTTATTTATTTCTTCTCTGATCATTATTATTTTCTTTCTCTTACTAATTTTGGACTGATTTTTATGTACAGCATATAGAAACACTTATTTATCACACTAATAAAATTGAATTATTGATGCTTATATTTTCTTTATTTTATATTTACTTCATTATATATATACACATTAATTATTATGCTACTCTGTAATAAAAACAATGAAAAAAATTTGCTTTATATAAAATACTTAAGTGAAAATAAAAATAACTTAGAAAAATATATCTGCTATTGCTATGCTATTTTTTTTATCTCTTTATGTTTTTTCCTATAGAATCAAGATGCATCAAAGATTTGAATATTGAAACTTAAGATTTTCCCCAAAATAACAAAAATTGAGGAGAACAGAATGGCTTAATGAACAGCATGCAAGAACTGATCTAAGAATTAGGAAAAAATGGGCATTTACCATGGACCTTATGGAGTAGCATTGCTGACATGAATCCACCAAAGAAGCTTCAAAACAAAAACGAGTCCATTATTCCGTGACACAATCACATTGAACCAGCTCATGGAGACTGGAATATAAAAGAGAATGCCAACTTCTTATATTTCAATTAGATATATTGCTACCAATTAACTGAGAATAGTAA